ATCATATACTTATTCTTAGAGCACGCTGTCAGTCTTGTAAGATACGTTATCTTTTAAAGTTATTTTTCATTAAGATGAAAAAACTCAGTCTCATACTGTGAATATTTGACATGAGATCTGAAAATGGCTCAGAACATCTTGTCACAGAAATGTAGGCAGGAGATTGGCTTTAAAACTGTACTCTAAGAAACACGGCAAAATGATATAATCGGATGTGACATTTCAATTCCACAATCATATACCATTCAGGTGGCCCTTTCTGCTTTCTGGGAGCTGTCTGCAGAAGCAGACACTTACTGTAGTGATGTACAGTAGCTGGCTGTTTCTGTTGGCCCAATTTCATCTCTATGGTATCATTCAGCCTCATTAGCAATCATGTTATTTCTATGGACACTTAGATTCTCATTTTCACTTAAAGGTGGGTAATTTTTGTCAAGCAGATTTTCTAGAAAAACATATTCCAAAAAATAATCATGGATAAGCCTGGCCTCCATTCGTCTGAAACGACTCATAACTACTTAACAAGAGTAACAGCTGTAGCCCCAGATCATTGGTGGAACTATACAGGAAATAAATCTCCGGTGAGCTCCCTCTATCCACAACTGAGGGACAGAAGGAAAGAGGCCACTCAACGGAGTACATTGGTGACTTGGCAATAGAAGGTCAAAGGCAGAAGCCTCACTTGCACAGTTAAAGCTTGTCAGCAGAGGCACTCTATGATGCAGGCTGGACCTTATCTGGTATTAAAAATCTCAAGGATTTGGGGGTTGTATTATTTTATTTGGCTTTTGATTGTACATATTAGGGAGTATCTCAGAAATGTTATGTCATTGGGGTCATCCTCTTGAAGTTGGGGCAATTGATTTTTCATTTTTTGGTGTATGAAAACCAGGACTGATGAACCTATAGAGTCAACAAGTGGAATAAGGGTTTTGGGGGGAGCGGCACACAGAGTAGGTGGTGGGGTGCAGAGGTGATAATGTCAAGGGGACCATATAGAAAAATAATGTTTAGAAAGTGATTGTGGTAGTAAGTAAACAATTCAGCTGGATAGGATTGAACTGTGGAATGATTTGCTATATTTATTAATCCCAAGTTTTAAAAAAGTACAAGAGCCAGTCCTGATAATCTCTGATTAGGGAGCCCTGATGGTGAAATGCTTAAGTGCTTGGCTGCTAGCCAAAAGGTCAGGGTTCAAAGCCAAACAGCAACTCTGTGGGAGAGAAGGTGTTGTGCTCCTTGTGAAGTTACAGACGAGGAAACTGCTGTGAGTTGTGATGGACTCAACAGCCCGCAGAAGCAATCATCTCTGGTTTATGGTCCATATTGATCCAGGCATTTTGAAACCCAACTTTAGCACAAGCCGAACCCTCTAGTTGTTCGAGTGTCATCAAATAAAAGGTGGCCATTTCATAACTCTGCATGGATCTGAAGGACAAATAAAACATTTCTGTAACAGTCAAGTGGGCAGAAGATCCTTGGGATTACAGAGATTGGCTTTTCCATTTCCAGAGTAAGACCAGATGGCAGTCGCCCAATTTATCTTACTTATTTGCTCCTCTTTAACTTTCAAGCACGTTATCTAAGTAGGTCTTGGCTTCCTTTGCATGGTAGCTATGAATTGGCTTCTTGGACTTGGGGAGACCTGATTTGAACCTTAGTGATATGGTCTGCGACAGCTTGGTATTCTCTCCAAGCCACCCGCTTATTGTTTATAAGTGTAAATAATAATTATATGACCAAGGGTACTTGAGAGCATTAAATCAGCCTGACATAGAATAGAAACTCAATTAATACCAGTCAATATCATCATCATCACCATTATCACTTTCCTACAGAATGTACATGACATATAATAGAGACCTAGCAGTCTATAAAGCTAGGTGGGATCTCATTAGTTTGAAGGATGGAATGTTCTTACATGGGGCCCTGGTGGCATAGTGGCTATACCTTGGTTGTTAACCACAAGGTGAGTGGTTTGAGCCCATTGGCGGCTTTGTAGGAGAAAGAAGTGGCAGTCAGCTTTCATAAAGAGTACACCCTTGGATCACTGTGGGGGCAGTTCTCCTTTTTCTACAGCGTTGTTATGGAGTTGGAGTTGAACCAACAGTAAACAGCACATGGTAGGAGAGGGATGGTGAATCTTTGTCTTCCTCATGTTGGACACATCATCAAGAAAACTAATGGCTAGAGAAGGATATCACGTTTAAGTAGAGGGTGGATATCAGGGAGGGAAGCCCTCCATGAGATGGATTGTCCCCGTAGCTGCAAACAAGGGCTTATGCATACGGACTATGTGAAGGTGGTGCAGGACTGAGTCATGTTTCATTCGTTATGCCTTGTCTGTTCTCACGAGTGGGCGGGGCCTCTGGCAACTGATAACAACATCAATATCAGCTGAGAAGGAAACAGCACTTTGAACTGTTGAAATTAATGTATCTCAATTTAACACAGTAGCACTGCTACTTCAGGATAAGAGTTGGCTTGACTTTAAGAATCCCAAATTAAGAATTTTTCAAAATGTATGTGTTGCTAAAAAGAAAACAACAACTACAAAAAGAACAGGTTGTTACAAGAACAAAGAACAAAGTTTCCCAATTAATGATAAGCAGTCATTCTTCTGAATAAGACTGACTTGAAACTAGTACAACTATTTTTACACATGAACAGATGGTTTTTGAGTATTGGCAAGTTTTCTTCCGTTGAAACTACTCTCTTGAGATGGTGATGCTGTGTGAACTTGCTTAAACCTCCTCTCCACAATTGGTGTAATAACTGTAATCACTGTGAGGCCCTGTTTACTGCCTCACCATGGTGGGTTTGAATGGATAGATTTGTCACGAGCAGTGGAAAGGCTTTGAGCTGGCTCGTTACATCCATTCTGCTTCTCCGAGTCTCATGACTCAGACTCATTTTTAAATTAACTTTTATCTGTTAAATAATGAGAATATCAGTTTTTTAATATCACAGATGTTTCAGCCAGGAGCCTTTCTTTTTCTTTTTTTCTTAGAACTTGCCATTCTCCCCTTTCTTCAACAATGTTATGAAACAAAATCCACCCAGTGTAAACACAATGCAAGATTTCATTATATCCTGCTTGATGGAAAAGACTATTTACACAGAGATGAAGTAGAACATTCACGAGATTATTTCATATGAGTAGAATGTGATTTTAGATCACAAAATAATTTTTTTTCCCCATTCCATGGACAAACTAGCTATTTCAGTTTCTGTCAGGAGATCAAGAGATCACCTTACTCTTTAGAAGTTTGTGTCTATGTGCATGTCTGGGTTCCAAAAGTGGATGAATGCCCATTGGCTTTATGTGAGGTGTGGACATCTCTTTTGTGTATCTGGGTGCACATCACAAGGGGGTGCCCCTGGGTTAGGCTTCACTGTCTTGTTCTGCTACTCACCTCTTCTCCCGTATCTCCCTCTCTCTGTTTCTTGCATGTAGGTGGGTCTCATTCTGTGCACTGAGACCCACAGGACATGCCCTGCTTCTCACTCTTCTTCCTGATGGTAGGGACGTCTCTATATTTAAACTCATCAGGATGACAAAACTAGCCAATCCCCTAAAAGGGTTCCATGCACCTCATCTGCGTACGCCCACCCAATCATTTCACAGGTATTTCAAGACCATGCCTAGAAGGGCTACACACTAGCAATTTACTGTATTGCAAGTGCTTCCAATTTTATTGAAAACAAAACCATAAACGTCTCTCAGTATGTGAAAGGTTACATTACTCACACATTGGAATAATTCTATTGTTAGCACCAACAATATTTCAAATGTTTCCTTTGTGTAGTGTCCCAGAGCTTTTGTATCCTATGGAAATATGCTATGTAGTAGGATTTGGGATAGATTAAAAGGATGCCTTTCTTGTGTACAGTGGAAGTAGGAAGATACATCTTAGGTAAATGTACATTTGAAAGTTGAGGAAATTTCAATAGATTTTCTTAAAATTATCCATGTTCATGTAGCTTTGGGACTCCTGGAAGTGTGGTGAAATTATGGGTTATGTGCAAGTGCTGATTTTAGCAGTTCCAAACTACCAGCATCTCTGTGGGAGAAAGAGAAGGCTTTCTACTCCCGTGAGAGTAGATTTCCAGTTCCAGAAACCCACAGGGACAGTTCCACTGTCCTAGAGGGTGCCGATGAATTTGGAATCAATTCGATAGTGGAGAGTTTGTAGCTTTGGGAAGCTTTACTTGCCGCTATGTCACCTCTATGTAGCATGCAGGGGCTGCAACAATGGTCTCACACATAACAACCAGTGTGTGGGTGGCGCAGACCTGGTAGTATTTGCTTCTGCTGGACACAGGGTCACTGCGAGTCAGAATTGACTCAGGGGCATAACGGCAATGCAACACCACGTCACGATGAGTCAGAATCGCCTTGATTGCAGCAACCTACCATGTGCTCCCCAGTTGGGATATGCTAGGCTATATTAGTTTCAGACCTTAGAATATTGTACTAGAAGGAAAAGAGGGTAGGATAAGAGAGAGGAAAAAGGAGGAGGAGGACAAGAAGGGGGAGGGAAAAAGGAAAGAAGGGGAAACAATTAACAATGCAGCTTTCCATCTTCAAACTAAACCGCCCAGGCCAGCATATACTAAGGAATAATGCCCTTCAAATAAACACCAGTCACACCATTCTAAATAAGCAGCGAGGAAGATGGTTGCCCAACTCCCCGCTGCTGAGTGAGTTCAGTCAGCAGCAAACTTGACTCCTCCTTTCTCGATCTCATGAGATTCCCTGTCATTTGTTTTACAGTGGTTTCCAGCAAGGCTTGTGATCCTTTCCCAACACAGTGGCACAGAAGAATGACAGACATCATGTTTTTGTTGTCAACCCAAGAGCGTTGGATGACAAAGAATTTGATTACTTTTAAAATACCTGCCCGAGGGCTCAGATACCTCCAAAGCCCTTCATGCACCAGATTAAAAAGGAATTCAGAAGGAATAGAAAACGTTATTTCATCAGGACAACCACTTACGATGAGTGGACCCCTGTTGTTCTCTCGGTACTTGTTCTGGAAGAAGATGTAGACGACGGTGGCGGCCAATGAGTAGAGGAAGGCGAAGACAGCGACGGTGACGAAGAATTCAGCCGAAGAGGAGAAGTCCCCGACCAAGGCCAGCTTCTGTCGCTCCTTCCCTTCGCAGGTCGGCACTTCAAACGTCACCTGGTGCAACCTAAACCCCAAGATTCAAGAAGACAGTCTTTAATGCGCTCTGGGGCAGAAATCCGATGTCACGTGTCTACATCTTTCAAAGCAAATTGAGCTGTGATTTGGGGGTCTTAGAGCAAGCCCAAGTGGTGAAGTTTAGAACATGATAGAGAGGTTAGTGGCAGATGCAGAAACAATGACTGCAGTGAGACGTTCAATTGTATTTAAGAAGCGCTATGCATTCTGAAGAGACATCACAGGGGAAGAAATGGGTACGGGGAATGATTATGAGTTAGAGTACAGTATATCTCTGCTTACAAACTCTAAGACTTTCCCACTGTGCCCGGAATAAAAGCCCACCAGTCCCTTTCCAGGGGCAACCCGGCTTGACTCGTAGGCCCTTGTCGGTGTCTCCAGTCTCTTTGCTGACCACTATCTCTTCTGGCACCTCTTCCAATCATGAGGACCTCCATCCTGTTTCTCATTTATGACAAGCATGATCTTGCCTGTGGTCTAGTCACTGACTGTTCCCTTTCTCCCCAACACTCTGCCTTCATCTTCCATAGTTAGCTCCTTCTTGGCATCCAGGGATCTTGCCAATTCTCAAGCCCAGTGGAGCTTTTCCTTGGCTGCTAATCTAAGGTAAGTCTTTTCTCATAGGCATTTTCTATCATTTCACCTTCTTTAATGACATCCAGAGCGCTCAGCATCATCCCCAACTATCTTAGTTGTGTATTAGATTGCTTGCCTTTTCCTTGTTCTAGGAAACTGTGGCAATGAACTCTTTATACAAATCAGGACCTTGGATTGCTGCTCTTTGAATCTGTATGCCTGAGATATTTTCCCTCTTCAGTAGACATGGCTTAAACACATGGATTAAGAGTCCTAATTCTGAAAACACTTGCTTTCGACTTGAGCCCGTGGTATCAGCTACTCATTTTTATCCCTCCCTCATGAGGGCAACAAAAGTACAAATGTGCTCGACACAGTGGATGTATGTATGGATTGTGATAAGAGTTGTACAAGCCCCCAATAAAATGATTTAAAATAAAAGAATCCTAATTCTGTAGGAAGAGTGATAGTTCCTTATTTGCTTGAGCTGAGGACCTTCTATCTTACAGAGTAAGTTCTATGAAAAAGCATCTAGGCACATTTATTATGTGATAGAGAAAATGCAGATAGCTCTTTGGGCAATACTTTCTGTTCAGTAGATGACACTTCAGGAAATACTTGTTATGAGCACCATAATAGTTCATGGCATGCATGAGGGCTAAGCAGAGAATTGTAACTCCTGTAGTAGCCAAATTCTTCTTCAGAAGGCCTCAGCTATTCCGTGGGGATGAAGAAAGCACTTGAAAGCAGACTTGAATGAGGCCCATCTACGCCAATAAAGTACCATTCAGAAAATACCTACAGAAGGAGCGGTGATTCCACAACCACTGACAAACCGATGGTAAGTTCTCAACTTTTGCTTAGGAAGTATTTGCTGCCTAAGCAAACTGGGTATCTTTAACATAGACTCATTTTGCACATACTTTTGTAATTAAGCTTCATAACAATAATGGTAAAACAACAATAATAGTAGGGACATACATATAAGAGCATGCCCTGTTGCCAGACATTGTGCTATGTGTTTGATATGCATTATCTCATGTGATGCTCACGACAAACCGATGGTGTAGGCATTTTTATTATCCACCTCCCTTTACCCTTGAAATCACAGAGAGCTTAAGTAATTTGTTCTAAGCTACATAGCTAGTAAATGTTGGGCTATGGATTGCAATTTTTATCTAATGCCAGAGCTTGATTTAAAAAAAAAAAACTTCTTTATTAACCTTCTCTTATTAAATGATGAAAACATTAATCAGGGTGCATGTTTTCTCAAAGTGAATCCAATGTTTTACTAGCATCAGAATCACTAGGGATCCATGATTTTAAAAATGGGTTTAAAGATATTCCAGAACACGTAGTCCGTGGATGGGGCAATGTGCTTGGTTGTTCATCAAAGGGTTCAAGATCCGAGGACTCTCAGAAGAGGAAGAAAGGCCTAGAATCAACTTCTGAAAAACACAACCACTGAAAACCTGATGGGGCTCACACACGGTGAGCCCTGGATCAAAATAGACTACATGGTAGCTGGTTGTGGCAAGACCTCAAAAACCAAACCAAACCAAACCAAAAAGAACAAACCCATTGCTCCACACAAGCAAGACGTGTACCACATGGGCGGATTAGAAATAAGGCTTTTGAACCTGGAGTGTAGCAAGCAAGGGGCGAGTAGTGCAAGATAAGATGGAGAAGGGGCCATGGGTGCCCCAGGGCCAGAACTTGGGGACCAGATTAAGTAAACTTGGAAAGTGTTCTTATAATAAGTGGCCATGCACAATAAAAGCAGCAGGTAGGGTCATATCACAATTAGCAACAATCTAGAGCCAGCACAACCATTTTGTAGGTGCCAGTATGAACTTCCAGAGATGTCCTGTCCCAGCACATCAGGCATGCACAGATTGTGTCTGCAATCTTTGTGTGATGGAAGCTGGTGGGGGTGGCGGGTCTGAACCAATTAATTTTTCCTTTCTATGCAGCCAGCAGAATACAGCAGCTGGATATTCTCCATTGCTAACTCAGTGTGTTGACTTAATGGAATTGTTAATTGTGCTTATTGGAACAAGGCAAAACAATCCACTGAATAATCTGCTGTGATGATCAATAGCAATGATCCGTGGTGCAGCCTTTAGTCCACCAGTCACTGAAATCAAGAGAAAGAGGTGTGTGTGTGTGTGTGTGTGTGTGTGTGTGTGTGTGTGTGAGAGAGAGAGAGAGAGAGGTGTGTGTGTGTGTGTGTGTGTGTGTGTGTGTGTGTGAGAGAGAGAGAGAGAGAGAGAGAAGTGATATTCTAATCCTGTTGCTCTCCCTTGGAAGAGGGGAAGAGATCATTTACGGAGGAAGAGCATGTTGGTTTTTAATAGTCTGAGTATAATAATGCATATCATGAAGCATACCAGATGCCCTATGCTGACATAGAGTAGTAAACCTACATATTTCTATTAAAGTAAAAATTCTCTTAGGCAACAAGCTATTATACACACATACATTCATATACACATTTTTTGAAGGGAGCACTTCTACAGCCAGCAGGGGTTTACCGCTGTAATAACTTGGGAAGCAGCTATCATTCATCTGAGGCTAGACGAGGACACAGCGCATTCGCTCTGGCTGCTGTGTGAGTGGAATCTGTAAGCCCACTGGATTCACCTTTGATCTTCCAAGCAAGCCATCAGGGAGCAATTGCTGAGGCTGCAAAAAGGGACCAAACTCAATTTATTGGTTTCAAGTGTATAATTCCCTCCTTGGCTGCCTGACCCAATTAAATCACCATTGAATTTCATTGATATTTCCTGTGTGGAGTCTAGAAAGACCTCCATTACTGTGTGTATGATTTAAAAATGTTTCACTGCTCAGTTTACATCTGCTTTGCATACTATGTTCTTCTGAGGTCAAACTGACAGTGGCGACTCAGGAGGTTGGATAGGATGCTTAGGGGATGGTTTAAAATAATGGTGGTGGATAATTTGGAGACAGATGGAGAATGTGAGCACTACATGGGAAAAGTATTCATGCCACTCACCTGTACATGCACATGCTTATTACAATGGTGTTTAACTCTCACCAAAATAAAAATGAAAACACACACACCTCTTCAGTTAAACTAAAGATACTGCTCATTGCCCATCATTTTTAGGCCTGTTTATGAGGCCTGGGAACATATTAGTATAACTGTGCCTTCTGGGAATTGGAAAAAGGTACGTCAATGCTGCTTCACTGATAAAACGTTTTATAATGACAACCACCACCATGTTGCCACTTCCGGTATTGTGTTGGCTTATTTCCCTTTCTCTTTCATTGAAGGCCCCTCATAACTGTCTTTCGTAGGTATAATTACTGTCACCACTTTACAGATGAAGACATTGCGGCCCGGGGAAGAGTGAGCTGGTCCAAGGTCATGGTCTAACAGATGGCAGAGATGAGTCAGAGGAGGAAGGACCAGAAGGACCTGCAACTACTGCAATCTCTACCTCCCCGCTTAAAAGTTAAAGCACCCGTACATTTCTACCATAATAGTCATGTAAAATTGACCATTCCACAACTGGACATCCCCTTACACTAGGGTCACGGGGAGGAGACGAGCCAGTCAGGGTGCAGTGTAGCAATGATGAAACACAACTTTCCTCTAGTTCTTTAATGCTTCCTCTTCCCCTCACCCCCCACTATCATGATCCCCTTTCTACCTTACAAATCCGACTAGACCAGAGCATGTACATTGCTACAGATAGGAACTGGAAACACAGCGAAACCAGGAGAGATGAACCCCTCAGGATCAGTGGTGAGAGTGGTGATACCGGAAGGGTGGAGGGAAGATGGGGTGGAAAGGGGGAACTGATTACAAGGATCTACATATAACCTCCTCCCTGGGGGATGGACAACAAAAAAGTGGGTGAAGGGAGACGTCGGACCGTGTAAGACATGACAAAATAATAATAATTTATAAATTATAATGAGTTTGTGAGGAGGGGGAGTGGGAGGGAGGGGAAATGAGGAGCTGATACCAAGGGCTCAAGTAGAAAGCAAATGTATTGAGAATGATGATGGCAAAAAAAGCACAAATGTGCTTGACACAATGGATGCATGTATGGATTGTGATGAGTTGTATGAGCCCCCAATAAAATGATTAAAAAATAAATAAAATTGGCCATTCCAGCTTTCTTAGCCATCTCATCTAGTACCCCTTCTGACTCTTAGAGCCCCTTACTCATAGGAAAGAGGAAAGCTGCACCCCAGAGTTTCCAGGCTGTCAATCGTTGTGGAAGCAGACTGCCTTTCTCCTGCACAGAACAGCTGGTAAGTTCAAACGGCTGACCTTTCCATTAGCAGCTAAGTGCGTAACCACTGCATTATCAGGACTTCTTTAATGTGATCGGAGTCTTAAACAAATAGCATGAGTATGGTTCTAAGCCCGTTTTCCTT